CGGGCGGTTGGAATTCTACCTCAGCCCAATCCTGCAGAAGCTGCCATGTGGTTGTCATGACCACAGCGCAGGACCCAGCGCTTGCTCCTGTGCAGCCTCATACGACTGGCCTCAGGCCGTCCCTCTGCAGGGCCTTCCTGCCCTCGGGCAGATGGACATTGCTTCCCAACAGCGTACCTTGCAGCGCAGGGCCTATGTACAATCCACACTGGAGTCCTATAGATCTCTATCAAGCTATCTATACCTAGACACACAGTCACCACTACCATCTTTTTTCTTAGTCTTGAGGTACACCATTCAGCTCTTTCATCGCCATCAAACAACCCCACTGACGGCACACTGCTGACACAACGTCCTTGCAAACACAGCAGCAACTCCTGGCACCGATAGCTCCGGGTACAACAAGCACAGGGCTCTGGATTGCTTTGGATGCAGTTGCAGCATGGATCTGAGGGCTTTGTGGAAGGGGATATATTGCAAATTGCACTGACGTTTTCAGACCATTTCTCTTTCGGCATGGTCCCAGCACCTGGCATGCTGATCATCATCCTGAATATACATTTTGTCAAAATTCCACAACTAATGAAATAGTTCCTTACCAAACGCAATCTGATCACTCTTCTGGCCATATTTTGTTCCAGCTACCGCTTCCTGCGGGTGGCACCAATAGCGCTGCATCACCTATAGCTCTCTGCTCTTACAGTTCTCACGCTGTCTGGGCAGTCCTCGTGGCCTCAAAACTCTCTCATGCCACACGTGCCACATTCTGAGGCACAGAATATGTATCACACTACTTCAAATGCTTTTTTTTTTTTTTTTTTTTTTAATATAATGACACTAGGGATAATCATCTGGAGCTAGAGCAATATGAAAAAATTCCCTTCAGTTCAACCATAAGTCTGCCCCATGGACTCCAGAAGAGCTCTAAGAATACGCAGGGTGGACATGGGTGGCAGCTACCATAACAGTAAGCAATGACAAATGAGGTTGGGAGTCATGCTGTGTCATTGCATCTGCGGGCAGGGATTTCTCCTTGGACTGAGCAGAGTGCAGATGTCGCCTAAGAACTTAGGATCATTCAGGAAAAGGAAATGAGTTATTAATTGAAGAAACTCACGTTCTAAAGGTACTTAGAAGGAGAGAGTATTTCCCAACAGAATGGGTTTAACTGTCTATGACCTGTTTTGTTGGACAGGTCTACTCTATGTATGCTTAGACTGACCTGAGAGGGCATGCTTCAGCACACCCCAGAATTTCCAGTTTCCACATCGTCCAGGCAGCGCAAGTGCGGTGTACGTCTCCCTTGGCACAGACATCAAGCTTTTCTTCCTGTGCAATCAAACACGTAGCGAGTCAGAATGCACTCGTGAACGTGAAACTCATTTTGCACGCAGCATTAGAATATAGCTAAGGTACCTCCACTGAGATGAGCAAGCTTCGGTTTGGGTTTGGGTTTAAAGGCTGCCAGCTTAGATAGAAACACTGCCAATCGGAAGGCTAAGAAACCTTGGCGCTTAACATTCCTGGAGACTTGGAGAGTTCTCAAATAAACCTTGAAAAGCTGCCTTGAAGTATTCCTGTTGAAAATTGCTGGGATGCCTTACCACATCATTCACCAGGACCATTCATATCATCCACCATAGATTAAATCAGTTTTAAAACCATGGATTGTAATTATCAGCAATACTTCCTCCCTGTGGATCTCAAGCCCTCGTGAGTGACTGCAATGGGGGGCGGCAAGGGGATTCTGGTGCCAAGCTGAACATCATTCCAGAAATCTGTTCTCCTGAACTAAAAATACGGGCTAAAGGAAACAAGGCGTGTATTCATCATTACACTGACCGCATCGGAGTGTGCTTTTGTGCACATGTGGATCTAGAGACATCGCTAAGAATTTAATTGGTCCACCCAATCCTTAAGCAACTCAGTAATTCAAGACACCTAACAAGGACGGAGGCTCAGTGGGCCATGGGCAAAGCAGGGAGGACAGAGGCAGGAAACAGGAAGGAGTTCAACTCCAGCTCTCCCACACAAAAAACTGGGAGAGCTGAGTCAGCACCACGGGAGGAGTTACGACACAGCTTGGGAGCTTACAGAGAGACCTGAGATTGCCAAAGGACGGCACCAGGGTAACTCTCACCAGTCCTGTGCAGGGGTTTCATGGATGCTTGGGATGCTGACTTCCACTGCCTGTGTCATTGGTAGGAAGTCCAGGTGACAAAGGCTCCTTCTGCCTGGGTAACACTTCTGTGGTTCCATGGTTATGACTGGGGGGGGAAAAAAAAAAAAAAAAAAAAAAAAAAAAGTAAAGTAAAGCACGCAAACCTGACAAATTTACTACTCCGCTGTTCTTGTCAGCATGACAACTCAGATGAGCGTTACGTGTCCTGCACCTGCCTGAAAATGCATCCAAGCCCATATTGCACACAGCTTCATCTCAGGGCCAAAAAGAAACAGTGCAAAGATGTTTAGAAGATTCTTGGTGCAGATGAAGGCGCAGTGTGCAGACTTATTCTCTTCAATTCTCTTCAATAATAAATATTGATTCATAATCCAAAGATAACTTATCAAGAAGTAGCACGAAAGGTCGATGAAAAGGAAATTACACGACAAACTATTTTCATTTAAGAAATCCCTGCTAAACCTCTCCCCATCAAAAAGGGAGCATCCTGGGCACTGTTAGCAGCAGTTCGGAGAACATCCTGCACCACAAGATGCGACACAGTCTTTTTTTCTTTATGAACAAGCCCCTCATTTCTCTACTTAGCATCAGATTCCCTCAAGTTCAAACACGAGGATCAGAACAGCCGCTCAGTCCTGATGAGAGGAACCCACAGCTGGGATGTCCCCCCGTCCCGTTCCACGCTATTTCCAGCATCGCTGGGGAAAGGAGGAGCGACTGCCATCACCTACCCAGGCTTCTGCGAGGCCTTCCATACGGTCACACATCACAAGGAGAAGCATGGCCGAGAGCTCTCGTGCCACAAAGCTCGGGGCTGCAGAAATCAAGGTTGCCCCCAAGATGCTGTGTGTAACAACAGGACTTACTGCACGTGAGACATGAAAGACAAGGTTAAGGTGAAAAAGCCTCCACTCCCCATGGATGTGGCTGTCTGCACAGACAACAGCTGCCTGCTGTCCAGCAGCCTGATGCTCACCCACCAAAGCACTCACCAGCAGATGCCTTTCACAGAATCATAGAATTAGCAAGCTTGGAAGAGATCTCCAAGATCATCCAGTCCAACCGTCCACCTACCACCAATATTACCCACTAAGCCACGTCCCTCACTGCCACATCTAACGTTTCTTGAACACCTGCAGGGACAGTAACTCCATCACCTCCCTGGGCACTCCTTGGAGAAGTGTTTCTTAACATCCAGCCTCAATCTCCCCCCGTGCAACTTGAGGCCATTCCCCCCAGTCCTATCGCTACTTACACGGGAGAAGAGGACGACCCCCACCTCGACATGACCTCTCTTCAGCTCATTGTAGAGAGGGATAAGGTCTGCCCTGAGCCTCCTCTTCTGCAGGCTAAATAATCCCAGTTCTCTCAGCCAGCCACTCCCCATGAGACTGGTGCTCTACACTCCTCACAGTTTCACTGCTCTTCTCTGGCAATATCTCGGGGATTCAGTGTCCTTCTTGTAGTCAGGGACCCAGAACTGAACACAGCACTCAAGGTGAGGACTCACCAGAGCTGAGCACAGGGGGATGATCACATCCCTGCTCCTACTGGCTCCAGAGCTGAGCACAGGGGGATGATCACATCCCTGCTCCTGCTGGCTCCAGCCCTTTGCACTGCACTTCCCATCTCAACCATCCCTTCTGCGGTAGCGCTTGCATCCTCACTCAGGGCTGGAGCTCAAGACCTCAACGCAACAGGAAGAACACAGCATGCAACTGGAAGATGCGTCTCAAAGCCGACAAGAGTCACCTCTCTGAACTTGGGCACAACTCACCAACCGAGAGCCAGGCCTTGCAAACTTGGCTTATCTGAGCACATTAGACGGGGCTGTACATCAGACCACAAGCATCCATTGCAATTGCAGCTCCACGTAGAGAAGAACGTCAATTAACAGGTGTGAATGAATTCACTTACAAGCTGCACAACGAGTCTGTTCTTCATTAAAAAACCCACATGGATTCCTAAGCCAAAAAGAGAACAGCAAGAGCTAATAGTGATGGAAGAGGTTCCTGGTTCTAAACCTCATCCTCTTACCCCAATTTTCCTTGCCTCGTACCCTACCCCAATTCCTGGACAATGCCCACAGACTTAAACTCAGACCTCAACTCCAGGAGCTGAACATGAACAAATCTAGCCCAGAGCAACAGGATGGCAGACACACAGCGGAAGACAACCAACCTGCAGAAGCAGCTCCGCTGGGGTTGGTCCAGATGTTTGTATGCTCCCTTCCATGGCTCAGGCCGAGCTTGCTGAGCTGCTCCTCCTTTGCGCAGGGGGAGAGCGGTGCAGATGCTATGTGCTGGCTATGCACAGCGTGCCTTTCACTTGATTTTCCTCTCTCCATCTTCCATTAGCAAACAGCATTTCAAATCTTTCCTCGTGAAAAAATCACCTATGTAAAAAAGAATCGGCAATCTTGCTTTTGAAGTTTCCTTATTTATACAACTTGATGTTTTAAAGCAGAAGCTCACCTAGCAGTGACCTACCTTAGACAAGCCCAACCTGCAGGGAAAAGTCATTCCTGTGGGTGCAGAGTCTGCAGACACATTTCCAGGTCCCAGTGTCAGCCCACTTCTCAGCACAGCTTTACCAACCACAGAAATCCAGTTTACGCCTGCCGTGCTTTTCTCCCTTCTGAAACGCTGCATCGCTGCAAGAAGCAAAGATTAAAATCACAGAACCACAGAATTGGGGTTGCAGGGGACCCCCAGTGATCATTGAGTCTAAAGTCCCTGCAAAACGGGCTCCCTACAGCAGGCTGCGCAGGTGGGCGTCCAGGTGGTTCTGGAATATCTCCAGAGAAGATGAAGCCACAGCCTCCCTGGGCAGCCTGTTCCAGCGCTCCGTCATCCTCACCGTGAAGAAGATCCTTTGCATTTTGGTGCAGAACTTCCTGTGCTCCACTTTGTGGCCATTTCCCCTTCTCCTGTCCCCACAGATCGCTGACAAGAGGTTGGCCGTGTCCTTTGGACTCTCACACTGAACAAATACGTAAGCATTAATCAGATCTGCTCTCAGTCTTCTTTCCTCAAGGCTGAACAGACCCAGGTCCCCCAGCCATTCCATAC